TTAGCACATCAAAAATGTTTTAAAATTTCTCTAAGTGACAAATGCATAAATCCAAGTGCAATTTGTTACTTTTATAAGCCCGGAAAATACCAAACTGATTTTCTCATAGAGATCCTGCCATCAGTTAAATGGATAAACTATTAAGCTACAAATAAAAAATAGCCCCACAGTTAGGCATCTACTAATGTACTGATTGTTTATAGACATAATTGGATTGATGGGTCTCAGTCATGACTCCATAAATACCAAGTATACCAGAATGTATGTGAACCTATGACACCTCATTTACCCTATATTGCTTTCAGACTATGATCCGGGTAGATCTAGCAGCAAATCATCCAAGTATGCATGCATAGTACATGTCTGTGGTGGTGAGGGTAGGTTGTATAGCAATGACACAGGTTATGCACTAAAGATCCCTGTAGTCGTTGTTAGCTGGTGTGGACTGGGTCCCTGACTCATGGCAACCCCATGCATAATGGAATAAAACACTGCCTGGCCCTGTGCCATCCCCGTGATAGACTGTGGATCAGACAATTGTGATCCATAGGGTTTTCACTGGCTGATTTTCAGAAGTAGAATGCCAGGCCTTTCTTCCTAGTCTTTCTTAGCCTGGAAGCTCTGCTGAAACCTGCTTAGCACTGGAACAACAGTCAAGCCACCATAGTACAACAAACTAACAGATGGGTGGTGGAAACATGCCTAGTGGGCATCATTTGCATAGAGAGTCAAGGATGTGAGTGATTCCCCCTGGAGAAAGGCAAACAGAGGCCCTTCCGGTGGACCAACTGATGTAGCATCGGGTCTCTCACGCCTGTGGCTCAGACACATTTACTTGCACATCCATCTTAAAATCTCTCCTTGTTTATCTGTTTTTCATTTTGAGATTTCAGATAAGCTTTGAAGAAATATTCAGCATCTAAATATAAATTTGAAATCATTGTGCTACATAATGGATAAGATTTTTAAACTAACGTGATTTTTCTAGATTAATAAAGCCTTTGTTGAACGTGCCACAGTTAACCTTCAGCAAGAAAAGAACCATCTTCTCTTAAAATCTCTGTAAACGTGTTTTCTTTCAACCATTTTTTAAGCATAATTGTGTGGGTGAATTTTTTTCTTTTTGGTTTTACAAATTGGCGATCACAGCAAATATACAGTTTTTGCATTTTGACTCTTTCATATACTATGAGGATTTTTTTGTGTTTTCTCTATTTGAAATCATGACTTTAATGACTATGGAATACTACATCATACTTTTGAATCACAATTTATTCAAACAAAGCTCTATGATTTGGCAGTTAGCTTGGGCATCCATTGTATTTTCCCTACCAGAAATAGTGGATTGTGGGTAAGTCCTTGTTTGTGTCTCTAATATTTTCCTTTGGTAAATTCCTAGGACAATAATTACAAGAACAAAAGTCATTGTCATCTCTAAGACCATCAGGTGGAGATAAGTGACATGAAGAAGGAGGGAGGAGGGTGGGAGGAGTGAGTGTTTGCTCTTTTAGAAAGGGTTGTTAGGGAAGGCCTCTCTGAGCTGAGACCTGAATGAAAAATGAAATTCAGAACATGCGTATACCTGTGAGAAAGTCCTTCCAGGGAGAGAAAGTAGCTTTCAAGGTCCTGAGGTTGCAACTAGCTTTGAGCCTTCTGGGAACAGGAAGGAGTCCAGTATGGCTGGAATGAAGTGAGCAGAAACTTATTGGAGGATCTGAGGTGGAGAACTGACTGGGGTCCAGAACACAGAAGGGCTTTGTTGGTAAGGATTTGGAATTTTGTTCTAAGTGAGATTTGAGGCCATTGAAAGATTTCAAGCTAAAAGTGACACACTCTGATCCCTTTGTGGAGAATTGGCTGTAGAGGCAAGAATGCAAGCTGCAGACAGACGAATTAGTTAAGATGGTAGAGAAGCAATAGGTGAAATGTCCCATATCTCCCGCTCTAAGCAAAAAACAAACAACAAAAACAAAAGCTGTGGCTGTGTGTGTGTGTGTTGTTGCTGTTGTTGGATGCTGTTGAGTCAATTCCAACTCATAAGGACCCCATGTGACAGAGTAGAACTGCCGCATAGGTTTTCTTGGCTGTCATCTTTATGGAAGCATATAGCCAGGTCTTTATCCCTTGGAGCCACTGGGTGGGTTTGAACTGCCAACTTTTTGGTTAGCAGCCAAGCGCTTAACCATTGCACCACCAGGGCTGCATGTGTGTGTGTGTGTGTAAGTGTGTATAATTTTAATCTTTGCCATAAACAAACAAACAAAAACCCATTGCCACTGAGTTGATTCTGAACATAGTGACCCTATAGAACAGAGTAGAACTGCCCCATAGGCTTTCCAAGGAGCAGCCAGTGGATCCGAATTGCCGACCTTTTGGTTATCAGACAAGCTCTTAACCACTGCACCACCAGGGCTCCATCTTTGATATAGTGGTAGGAAAATCTCATTGTATTATTATTATGATTATTACTAGTGGTGTTAAGTACTTATTCAAAGATTTAATGGCAAGGTTTTTTTTAAATGAATTATATATTCACTTTTATGTTTACTTGGGTGGGTTTTTATCATCAACTTATATGAGAGCTTGAGCTATTCATATTATTATTCATATTATCAAGCTTTTATCTATAAAATTTGTGGCAAATATTTTTTCTAGAGTATTGGTCATTTAATTTTGTTCTTTTATTTTTAAGGAAGTTTTTTTAATTTGAAGCCACACCTCTAGTTGATAAATGTGGTGTTAATTTCTTCCTGTGCTGAGATCCACTTAGGAAAGCCTTCTGTGATTTCCAGGTCTCTGGGACCCTTTTTGTTTAGGTCTCAGTGGCCCTGTCCCCAGGGCTCTTCCTGGCTATTCAGATGAATAAATTTTACTTATGAACCGCTAGCAGACTCTCCCAGATTCCTGAGCAGCTGTTTGGGAGGAAATACAGGAGTAGTGAGCTTTCTAGGTGCTTCAGATAGCAAGACCTAGGGTATTACTGATCAGAAAACCAGGTAATTTACTCCCTGAATTTCTGAACAAGGCGGAGAGAAGGGGCCGACCAGAAGTTCTCCAGAACTATTTTAGCAAAATTTGTTCTCTCCAGTGATATAGCACAAAAACCAGTTGTTGTCCAGTCAGTTCCTACTCCTGGCAATCCCATGTGTGCCGCCAAATTAGAACTGTGCTCCATAGGGTTTTCAATGGCTAATATTTTGGCAGTAAATCGCCAGGCCTTTCTTCTGAGGCACCTCTGGGTGGACTTGAACCTCCAACCCTTCAGTTACCAGCTGAGCGTGTTAGCCATTTGCTACCCTAGGGACACCTAGTGATGTTGCAGTGATGGTGATTTGTAAAATCCAATTCTATTACTGGCTTTGCAGTAAGTATTTCATCCCAGATACTGGTAATGATATTACTCCCAGCTCTTATTTTTTGATGGAAGTGTGGACTTACTTATGTATTTCCATCTTGCCCATTAAATGTAAGATCTGTGAAAGAAGAGTCCATGTTGGTTTTGTTCACCTCGCTTTACCCAGCTCTTAATACAACCTCTGACATTCAATAAAGGTTTGTATATTTGTCAAATTAGCAAATGAATGATTGTGAAATATGCAATTTCAGTGGAAAATGAGGAGGCGTTGTGCCACAGACTGGCAGTCAGATGTGCTTTAAAATTGGTTCCGTTGTCCTGCTTTGTTAAATGGGGGTATTTTTGACTCTGGTTCGTTATTAGCATGTCCATGAATCGGCATGGACTCTAGTGCAACAGATTTGGTTTGGTTTGGGTACTCCTCCAGGCTGGAACGTGGTGATCCCTCTGGAACTTCTGGGGCTGGTGGTGTGGTTTGCTTCTTTACTTAATGGCTCTGCACTACTCTGCTTTTACAGATCTTCTCTAGGTTTAAAGTAGCTCTCCCCTGTCTTCTTTTGGCTATTTGGTAAAATTTTCTTCTCTCAAATGTATCTCTACTAGGGTAAATTTTGAATGATGAATACTTTTGGTATTCTGAATTCTCATTAAATGGAGTGGTAATTGGGATAAACATTGAAGGATCATTATAGGTTTTCTTCTAAATAAATTCGTTTTTACAGAGACCAACAAATCATTATTAAACCAAATTGTTATGTAGCAGATGCCACCTGTTTATTGGTGATAAATTAGAATTTTTTAGATTTAAACACAGAAATGAAACGAGGCAACTTATTTAAAAACTGATTTTCAATTATCTATGTAAATGGCGGGCAGGGTGTGTGGAAATGCCCCCAGATGCATATGCTTCTGTGTGAGGTCTCTGGTGCCATCACCGCTGTTGCTTTCTGTGTTAAATTACAGTTTTTATGCATCCATTAAATTACCGTGTTTTACATACGCTGATGGATGTAGCTAAATGGTTATTGTCAAACAAGAGATGGGTCTAGCGCCACCAAGATGGCGCAGAGAGGGGAGATGTCGTTCAGAAGTGGAAGTGGAGGACAAACAGGAAAAGAAAACATCGGATTCAGGGGAAAACCAGCCGCTCCATTAAATAGAAGAGCTAAGGAAGGGCACCTCAACTTGGAGAGAATGAGGATCCGGGGAGCAGAAGTCTGCCATCTGTGTCTTCTTCAGCACAGAGTACAGGTTCTGCATATATGTATTGATTTTCTGAGCTCCGTTTTGGAACGATTTTCAGAACACCATCATCAGAGTTGTAATAAAATGAAACGTAATGAAATGGCCTAATTGTAGTCACCTCTTTTCTTTCTTCCATTGCATTTTCAGAAAATAGGTCAAAGTCAATAGGATATTTGTGTTCTTTCCCTGCTCCCAGTTTACTAACTTTGGTATTTATTTTCTGATATACCAAATTTACTACATAAAAGGGACAGGATATGAAATACAGAAAAGAATTAGCTTGCTCTATAATTTAAGTATACCTCTCTCTCCCCTCACCGGAACTTCCCACCTTCCAATTCCAGAAAAGCATCCCCATTTTTTCATGACTTGTTAAATTTACATTCATGTCTTCTTTTAGGTGGAATGGCTGAAAAATGAGGAGCCCATTGACTCTGAGCAAGACGAGAACATTGACACCAGGGCTGACCACAACTTGATCATCAGGCAGGCGCGCCTCTCAGACTCAGGGAATTATACCTGCATGGCAGCCAACATCGTGGCCAAGAGGAGGAGCCTGTCAGCCACTGTGGTGGTTTACGGTAAGACCAGCCCAAAGGCTAGGAAAAGATTGGGAGGGCGGAAAGCAAAGTAGAGGGACTGTGCATTTTATTAAAACCAATGTTCAGAGCTGAAAGGACATTGAGGGTCATCCATGGCCGCCCTCTGTCCTGCCTCCCCATTGACAGGTAAGAAAACATCTTTCACTCCTGTTGCTATTAATGTGTTTATTTTTCCATCCAGTATTGGACTTAATGAGATAGTTGGATATTTCCAATCTCTCTCTCTCTTTAAGATAATAAAACATTCTTTATTTTCTACCATCGTGTTTATACTTGAAAAGAATTGAAGTGGGCAACTTCTATCTTCCAACCCCTTCCCAACCCAACATCCACTCCCATCCTCCCCAGATCTGCCGTCAGTCGGTTCCTTTCCTGGCATATGAAATCCACCCAAAACAGGTATTGTACAAAAGAAGTTCCCAGCTATTTAAGTAAAGGTATTCCCTTCCACATTAGAAGAGTCTGGGGATTTATTTTGGAAGCACTTTAAGTGATAGATTTTCAAATGCTTATTTTTCCTTATTATGCTGTGGATTTTCAAGTGCTTTGGAGATATCTTGATGAGTTCTTCCTATTTTTCATAGTTTCCCTGCAAAGCAAGTTTTAAGCATCCCTGCTGTCACAGATGAGTAGGCTGAGGGGCAGAGATGAGGTAAAGCCCACTGTTGCACCACAACAGAGGAACCAGTGTGGGTCCACGTAGTCTCTTGATTCCCAGATGCCCAACTCACAACACCTGGCACAGTGGTTTGCACATAGTAGGCAATCAGTAAAAACCTCTCTCCTTTTTTTTTCTTCCCTCCCCATTTTTCTCTCTCAGTGAATGGAGGCTGGTCTTCCTGGACAGAGTGGTCAGCCTGCAATGTTCCCTGTGGTAGAGGATGGCAGAAACGTTCCCGGACCTGCACCAACCCAGCTCCTCTCAATGGTGGAGCCTTTTGTGAGGGAATGTCAGTGCAGAAAATAACCTGCACTTCTCTTTGTCCTGGTGAGATATATGCAGATTCCATTTTCCCTTCTGATCCACCAACACTTTTAAGGTGGTGTGGAACAATCAGTATCCTTCCTTTCCAAAGTTTCCCTCTCCTATGTTCTTAGGATGGAGACTTTGTCCAAAGTTGCTGCTGTGGAGCTCAGTGTAACGGCAAGAACATGGGTGAAATACCTCTGTGCAATGTTTTGGGGCATATTTTCTTGAATAATCAGATGACACTGGCCACTCATGATCCATCAGTCAGATGCTGCAGAGTATTTTTATCTACCGGTGTTTGACTGGGCTAAGCCATCCCCTTCTCTCCTTGGGTTCTCCCATTTGGTGACATGCATTTGTATACTAGCTAGCAGGGATTAGGTGAGTTCTCTGCAACGACACCACAACAGGTGTCCAAAATTTGACCCTTTATCATTGGACATCAGTCAACCAATGGACCTTACCAGTTTTAGCTTTGTATTTATTTACAGTGAAATTAGCAAAAATCATATACTATCACAGCAGTCTATATTTTACATTTGATCTATGCTTGCCTTCCTTTCTGAATAGAGAAGAGACCTCATTTATCAAAGATGGCTTTTGTAGGTCCCTTTGTTCATCTCTTACTGGCTCTCACCCAATTTACACAATGAGAAGTAGATGAGATGGAAGATGACTTTCTTTATGGAAAACATATACTCTCACTGAGAAATAAATTGATCTTGGGTCTCATGCACACTGCAGAACATTAACTCCAAGGACACTGGACTAGAGCCTCGTTTCCTTAAAATTTCAAATGTAGTTTCACTCAAAGATAAGGTGCGGCTCTCACCACCAGCATCTTCTTGGCATTTCAGTTAAGGTTCATGTTCAATAAACATTTATTGAGTGCTTACTACGTGCCAGACACTGTGCAAGATACATTTATGCATAGAATGTCATTTCACTCTGTGTTGTGAGTTTTATTATCCTCAGTTGATAGCAATGGTAATGTGAGGCTAAGTGACTTGCCCAGGATTTCTCGGCCAACAAGTTGATAGAACCAGGACAAGAACTCAGACATTTTGCTTTAAGTTCAGTTATTTCTTATATTACCGTACTGTGGACTAATTGCTTTAGATTAAAAATTGGAATATCTTAAATAACCTACATAAGCATGGTTGAACGATTCCTAGGAGATAGTGGGACAGTTACCTCAAACAGCTGCCATAATCTCTAGGGTTGACTTTTAGTGGAATTAAATTCAGTTTGTTCATTTCTCCATACAACAGCAATCCATGACCCAAGAAATTCTATTTATGTAAGTCCTGGTGTCTTGGGGTTTGAATGACCTGTTTTAGTTTAATACTATCAATATAGGTGGGTTTAACTTTTTATTGTTTAGATGCTTTTAGGACTTAAAGAGAGTTCATTCTACTCTCTTTCCTAAATTGTCAGCTTGCAAGGAAGTGGATGATTAGCAGTGGTTACTGCACATAGTTTCTCTGTCCATCTAAGATGTACTCGAGCATGAAAGACTGAGAAAGAATGGATACTGACATTACTTGCCAACCCAAGGGTGCTGGTAATTTGAATGCTTGCCTAAAATCAGTAATTGGTCTCATCCTGAAATAGCAAGAGAATTACACCGCTGCCTTTGTTAGCATATCTCTCTCGGAAAGAAACCATGGAGAGAAGATAAACTGATACATTATTTTGTTGTGGGGGTGGTGGTGGTGATTGCTTTAACATTCAGCTCGAAGAACAACAGCAGCCCTGGGGAGAGTCTCCTGATGCCTGCTGGATGCACCCTAAGGATGGTTTTTTTGTTTCTCCTTGAAGTGGATGGGAGCTGGGAAGTGTGGAGTGAATGGTCCGTCTGCAGCCCAGAGTGTGAACATTTGCGGATCCGGGAGTGCACAGCACCACCCCCGAGAAATGGGGGCAAATTCTGTGAAGGTCTAAGCCAGGAATCCGAGAACTGCACAGATGGTCTCTGCATTCTAGGTAACACCTTCCGTTTAATATCGTCATTGTTTGTCCATAATATAAGAAGAATCAACATCACAGCTTAATTTGGTCAAATAAGTTACCATAAAGCCAAATTGATAAGAGTTAAAAAAAAAAAAAAGATGAAAATAAGGGTATGGAAAAGTACAGCTACATTTTAAGTGGAGATGGTAATTTTAAATATTTTATCACTGTGAGTTGTATAAATCTGTATGCCTATTATTAATCTAATAACACCATGTTTTAAGAGAAACTTAACCTGCTTATCCATTCTCCCTGTTCCTTTTAAGAGCCGCGTTTTTAACTTTGGTAAAATTCTAATACTGATGACTGTCTGTTTATATTTCCCCCAAGAATCTTATGGCACTCTGAAGCATTTAATAAATCTTTAGAGACTGTGATTATGTGGCAAGGGACGCGAGTTATGACTATTATCTTACAAATGGGAAAAAAATATTACACCTGAAGAGATGGGTGGCTTTGTATCAAATTGGTCTGACAGAGCTTAGGAAATAGAATGTTCATTTTCAATTCCCAAGCCTTAGCTTTATTCCTGAGACTACACTATTACCATGCCCAAGTGGCTGTCTACCTGGGTTAGGAAGTATGGGAGAATCAAACAGAGTCAAATAGAGATATGTTTTCATTTAGTACTATTCCTAACTATCTTTGTGACCTTTAGCAAGTTGCTAAACTGCTTAACTTCTCTGACTGTAAATACCAAAAATGATGCTCATTTTTGGTTATTTTAAAGGTTAAATGAGAAAACATATTTGAACATTGCATGACACAGTGTAGGTGTTCAATAAATATTAATCCCTTCTCCACTTGCCACTCAGATGAGCTAAGGTGTATTGATTTTGCTGGGATCATTAAGAAGCATGAAATGTAGACATGCTAATTCTCTGGAACTAAGGTGCCTTCTTTGGAAATTCCTTGTAAAATATGCAGCAAAAAATAATGTACCTCAATAGTTTGCAATCTTTTGAGGCATATGTGTCACTTTTTCTTTGGGAAGATAACAGTATTTAGGAAAATATCTAAGTTGGATTCATTCTTCTGCATTGACATGGCCAAAGCAAATATATTCAAACTTGCTAACTACTGTATTTTCAAAATAAGTCAATATCAAATGATTAATACATTGAAATGAGCACTTACTTTTAGTCCATAGGGCACTGGTAGAATTCTCGCCTTCCATGCAGGAGACCCGGGTTCGATTCCCAGCCAATGCACCTCATGCACAGCCACCACCCATCTGTTAGTGGAAGCTTGCGTGTCACTATGATGCTAAAGAAGTTTCAGTGGAGCTTCCAGACTGAGATGGACAAGGAAGAAAGGCCTGGTGCTTAAAACTAGCCAATGAAAACACAATGGATCGCAATGGTCCAATCTGCAACCAATCATGGGGATGGAGCAGGATGTACATGGGGTCATCATGAGTTGGGGGCTGACTAGACATCAGTTAACAACAACAAGTAGTCCATAGCACCTTTGTGTACTGTTACGAGTATTGATTATCCTGCATGTGTGAGATACAAGGCAAAGGTCTGTAATAAAAGATAACTTAACTAACAATCCTGTGATGAAAGAGCCAGGCTTTCTAATATAGACATTCTAACCATTTGCTTTCCTCTAAATGCCTTCTTGCCTTCCCCCTTCCTAAATGTAATGAAACGAATCAAAAACTCAATTGCAAAAGGACCACCCTTGACTAACATCAGATTTTTCTGAAACATGTGTTTGACATGTGGCTGTTTTGTGTTTTGTTTTCGTTGTTTTTTTAACACGTAGCCATACTTTTAAACTGAGTTAAAACCATGAAACTCATGTCTGCTAATCAGCTGTGATAATATAACTATTTGGCTTCTGGTTAAATTTTAGATAATCACAGTAATAACCTTACCTATTAACCACCAATCAGACTTGCACTTGGTAAAATCTATGGATATCAGGTTTCAGCCATTAGAGTAAGATTTAGTCTTAGAGTTACTGATTGAAGACAGAACAATAGCTAGACCCTAACATAAAAAAATAATTGTTGTGAATGCTAGGGAGTCCCTGGGTGATGCAAACAGTTAAGCGCTTGGATACTGAGAGGTTGGCAGTTCAAATCCACCCAGAAGTGCCATGGAAGAAAGGCCTGGTGATCTGCTTGCAAAAGGTCACAGCCAGAGTAGAACTTATGGAGCAGTTCTACTCTGCATACATGGGGTCACCATAATTGACTCAATTATAATTAGTTTTTGTTTTGGTTATGTGGATGCTATTTATTTGCACTTGTATTGGAATGTACAGCCATCTTTCAGTTGAGTAAGAGTTCTGTTTAGTGGTGAAAGGAATTATCAGCACTGAATGTAGTGGCAAGTCTAGATTCCAACTAAAAAATCTGAGAAGTACATACACTTGCAAAGTTCAAAGCTCAGTTCTTATTTTCAGAACCAGTCATGGCCGTAATCCAAGCAATTGCTAAAAGCATTTCATTGGTTTACTGAATGAACACTCCCCATGGACATTGGCCATGGATGGTTTTAGCTGCACAGATTACAGTGAGTATTCTGTTTTTATTTTCCTATGCTGGAAATAAAAAAGCTAGGAAGACAATGAGGCTTGGAATATGTTCAGCTTTGGAAGTAAGATCTCTGCAAAATCCCCAGTATCTATTTATTCCTTCTGTTCCCTTTTCTACTTAAGAATGGTTTTTCTCACATGCTTTGCCTTCATAGTATTCATATTAAGATGTCTGTCAAATATGATCAGAGAAATTTGGGGACTAAGCTTTTTGAGGGAGAGAGGGTGAAGCATATGAAACCATAGCGGTGAATGGGTTGTATTGGCACATCAGTGGGAAAAAAGTATACCTGTAAGTGTCCAACTCCAGGAAGTATTCTGCCTTTGTAGATAGAGTGGCTACCATCCAATGTCAACAAAAAGGAATAACATTTCACTCTGTCTGCAGGAAGCAATGAACAGCAACCTAGTTAAATGACACTGCAGTGCTCATGATACCCACATCACTCTGTGCTTCTGGCTGGTACTCTGTGAGAGTGTTCTTGGTGAAACTAGCAGTGCCCTGAGAGTACAACTCCAACAAAGGCTGAGTTTGATTAAAATAGCATTTGGAACAGACTTATGGAGCAGTTGCTTTGTTGAAGGAACTAGGTCATGTTACAATTTGGGAATTTCTCTCCTCCTAATTTTTTTCCTTTATGCCAAACATGGCCCTAAAGCAATTCCTCAATTCCCAACTTCTCTTTGAGGGTTAGCAATGACATTGCTTGGCCCTTGGATGACCTACAATTCTTTGATTTTACTTAGATCTCAACAAGGTATCTGGATTTCCTTTGTTGTCTGTGAGGGCTGCATTCCTCCTTGAGATGGAGCTGCCAGCTCTGAATGATCATTTTAATATTTGGATGTGATTGTTGCTTGGCCGGTTGTGGCTGGAGCACAGTCTTAGGGTTTTGCTATCACAGAGGGCCACACCTAAATGCTCTCAACAAGAAAGTAAATGCCCAAGGCTGGTAAAAGTGAGATTAGGCAATTCTTGCCCATAGCAGTTAGTCCAAGGATCCAAACTGCAAGCATAAACTGAATACTCAGTACGTTTAAGCTAGAAAATTGATTTCCCCAGTAAGAAAGGTAATTATTTGATGTGATTGTCAGGAAACAAGAACTTGTGGACTTGTGTTTTCTGACTTTGAAAACCAGAATCAGACAGCTTCCTGACCACTGTTCTTTATACCAGCTAAACTTAGCTGCTTCAGTTCTACTCTGTCACTTGCGGTTGCTATGAGTTGGAATCTACCTGATAGTACCCAACAACAAAAACATGCTCTGAGAACCACAGCCACAGATAAATGATGTGTAGTTGCCTCATGACAGGAATAGAAAGGTCAAATGGCAAGGCTTTTAGTTTGATCATAAGGAACCAGAAGAGTCAGCTCCTTCTCCCCTTATTCCAACAGATTTGAAACTAAGAGGGGGCCCTGGATGTGCAATGGTTAAGCGCTTGGCTGCTAACTGAAAGGTCGGCGGTTCCAACCTGCCAGCCACTCTGCGGGAGAAAGACGTGGTAGTCTGCTTCTGGAAAGATTACAGCCCTGGAAACCCAATGGGGCAGTTCTGCTCTGTCCTATAGGGTTGCTATGATTTGAAATCTACTTGACTGCAAATTTTTTGTTTTTTTGTTTATGAAACTAAGAGCTTTGGCTTGAGACGATTAAATGGATCTGCTTCTGAGAGAATTAGTGCCCAGATATATAGTGAGAATGGAGTCAGAGAAGTTCCAGTGAGGCCTGAAAGAGAGAGGAAATCTTCAAGGACTGAGCTACCTGATAGCTAATTTGTCCTTTTGGTCATAATATAAGATAGGTCAGTTCAACACTGACAGTTCAAAAACTGAAACATCAGTTAAAATGTAGGTTTTTGTTTGTTTTTCTTTTGGGCACATTGATAGGAAAAGTTTGAATTGACATTTTGGAAAACACGCCAAAGACAAAGACAAAGATATTTACAATAGCAGGTGCAAATGAGCATCCCCAAGCTACATACAACTAATGATCTGAACTACATTGTCTGCTGAGTGTTTACTTAAATGACCTAGAGGAAACACCTAAGAAGGTCAGCCTATAAGCACCTCAAAGTAATAGTTGCCTTGTTAAGTGTCTTCTCTTGGACCATCCTAAGCATCACTGTTATCTGTTAAAGTAGTTACCTGGGTCCCTTTCTTGTATTTCGTAGAATATTGACTAAGAGAATTTTCATCCTACAGATGGTTCATTGCATCTGAAACAACTCATTTATTTTTTGCTGGTGGTTTACAGAATGCCTGTTGAGTATTGTTCTTGTTGTTGTTTTTAGGGGCCACCGAGTAGGTTCCCAACTCGTAGTGACCCTATGTACAACAGAACAAGACTCTGCCCTGTCCTGTGCCATCGTCACAATTGTTATGCTTGAGCCCATTGTTGCAGCCACTGTGTCAATCCATCTCATTG